TTTTAACTTATATGACAAAAAAAAAAAGTCACTTTAGGTGAGCCGCTGATCGGCATGGTACCCGAAGAGCCACGGAGATTCAGACAACAACCAAGTCCTTTGACGCTCAAATTAGATTTCGGGTGCCATGATTATTGCAGTGGCTGCTACTTGTGTAACTCTATGCAGAACCTTTGACAACTATATGCAGATGTATGTATACCTTACACGTACAGCTTTATCACAATGACGCGAGGATCAACTATATATGTATATACAGGTAGTAAGTACACGAGAACAAGGAATCTCGACTGTTGTTGTCGGATCGCTACGTGCAGCTGTTACTACTGCCGAAGTGCTACACTGAAATATAAATCAATCGCAAACTGCCGATTGATCGGCACAGCAGCAATGAATATTGAATCTTCAGAGTAGGCTTTGACGTGCGTTTGCTCGCTCGAGTGCTTTGATTAGATTTCGTGTACCTATTGATGAGGGAAAGAGATGCAAAGGAAAGAGAAGAGGTGGGGAGGGGGGGGGGTACTTGTCTGTAAGACGACGGGACAGCCGAGACGATTTTTCACCGTGTAGTTCCATTGTAGCGATGCATCAGAGCGCGTTCGATCGAACAATCGCATTCGAGGAGGATGACGTCGGGGGACCCGAAATTAGGAGATGCCATGTGCATTGCTCAAGTGCAAAGGCTGCTCCAATAATGGACGTATATACATACGAGGATTACGTATACGTACAGTATTCTCGCGTGCGCTCGTCTTTACGTCGAGTATATACTATATACGTATATTGTAGATATTTTTACAAAGACTGCGTGCTACGGTTTTGTTTGAGCTTGAGCTGATATAGAGAGGCATGACAGTATGTATATGTGCAGCTGCGAGGTGCAGTCGGGATGTATAAACCGAGCATAATATATGGGCAAATTAGTCGACTAACTTCCAAGTCGTACTTCTATAAGTATGTGCAAGCAGGAACCTGGAACGTTATAATGTAAGTACGTGTGGGATGTATGTTGTACCTATGAATGTATAGAACAAGGCTCGTTGCGGTTACATCAGGAGTGACGCCATATTTTGCAATTTTCTGCTGGTGTATACTCGATAACGTAGGCGCGTAAAACGGGTACTGTGTGAAAATGAGTCGAATTTTTTTTTTTTTTTTTTTTCCATTGGCAAAGCTCTGCATCGGTGCTAAGTAGAGCTTTGACTGAGTGTGTGCGCGTGAGATTCATCATCTCAGGATTTTGGTGACCGAGGATAATCATTCGAGACTAGAGAAAACTATTTTAATTCATTACTCTACGTGTGATTAGCAAAAGTGGAGGTCCCTGAACCATTTACTTACGACAATACGTTGACGAACATCAAATTTCCCGCTTTTATCTATCATGTGTGTGATTACAAATATCGTTGCTTTTTACTTGTAAGGGCGTAAGTGGAAGTGTATTCTTGAGATTTAAAAATTTTTTCAACTTTTAAGTTATAATTTTGATCTGAAATTAAAGGCAGTCCACATAATAGTTGTCTTCCACAAGGTAAGAGCTCACCGTCTACGAAAATAAGTAGATACAGACGAGTTGGATAAGACAAGCCGCATTTATCCGTCATATATTTAATCGCAAAATTAATTAAGAAAATAAAAGAGGTTTAGTGTAGTACATCATCACTGTAATGTATTGGTATCCAAAGTAAACATTTGTGACAAATGAAAATATTTTAAACAGTAACAATTGAATGAAAGTTCATAGTGAAATCAGCTTACGTAGCAACTGTGAATTTACAGATTTATCAGCTACACTTTTTTATAAACAAAAACAACTTCCCCGCATAAAGTATTACTAAAGACTGATGCAACTCCTTAATTAGTTCTGAAATGTCCCGATATTCGGCAAATCCGTAATTTGTACGAAGAAAAGGACAGAAGGGATGTCCAAGCTAATGTGAGAAGTCCTCAAGGAAAAGTGAATCAACGGTACTGCCGTTGTCAGATTGCAGTCCATTTAATCCGTCTATGGAACGTGATAACAAAAAAAAAAAAAAAAAAAAAAAAAGGAAACAAAGAATGAGCTCCAGACCACCATCCCGATAAATCACCACGAATACCCGATGTAAGGTAATAACGTACAAGCACTTGCACGCACGTCCGAACTGAAGCAGCGGTGCAGTGACAAATTTTGCCGTGTTCCGAGATACTTGCTTCGATCGCATAAATCATCCTTCGATTGTATCGGCCTTGCCTGCGTACACCTATACAGTTAAGCCGCGAGAGATGAGAGCGAGAGAAAGATGTACCCATGAATAAGAGCCGTGGAGCCATTTCTCTTTTACTCCTCTTTCGCTCGTGTGCGGCGAGGGCAGTCGGTGAGGTGTACACGTTATACACGTGTACGTATATCAGTACCCATATGCGTATATATATATACATATACACGTACGCGCGCGCGCGCGCACCAAAAAGCCAACCAGCAAAGCGCCGTGGAAAAGATGTTTATCGCTATGCCACTATGTATAATATTTATCTCAATCCCGTGGACGCTGGATCCTTGCCGATGTTTACGAGCGTAAATTGAATTTTCACGAGCCAGTTGTTACGTATAGGTATGCATACGCGTGCACATAACAAATATCCGTGTGCGCGTATTACATTCATTAAGCTGACTTTTAACGATTTAACACGCTTACGTGAGAATCAACTCTCACGCACCAACGAGAACGCGAGCGTGCAAAACACACATCATCAGAGGTAATGCTCATTCGAGTATGAGTACCTACTTACGGACTGTTTTTTTTTTTTTTTTCTCCTTGTTTCAATGCAAATGACTCGTAATCTTTTTGCTTGTACTACAGGGGGATTTATTAAAATTATGCAATGCATGGAGACGCTTTTTGTGGGTGTCTGGCGTTTTTGATGATTTTTTGCAAGTTATTGGCTCATTAAAGTTGAACATGTACGAGTCACTGCATATGCTATCGAGAACACGTGCAAAAAATAAAGGTAAAAGGTATACTAATTGGCACGAATTAACGTTGTCAATCAACAACCAACGAGTAGTTATTTGATTATCCTATTTATTTTTCCCATGGGATAGTAATATCCATTTTGTTTCTATATGTGAACGAAAAAAGTGAAGTAGTTAGCTTGATAGTAGGAAATAATAAATTGAAACATTTGACCCAACGTGTTGTTTTATCTGCTAAAAATTAATTATAATAATAAATATTGTTTACTCGACACCTATACTGTTAATTCAATTGGGAAATAGTCAACCAAGCGTTGAAGTATTGATTTCACCAATCAACTTTTTTTTCCACCTACTTGTGATACTATTTTTATGGACAATCGATGCCCGAGCTCTCGATTTTTTTTCGAGAGGAGCATATTAAAAACTATCAAAAAATGTTTAACTTTTACAGGAATTTGAGTTATGAATGAGATACGATGGCTACTAAGCCTGCACCTATTATTATTTAATTGTAATCGGTGAGTCACAGTCGCTCGACGTGCTGATGGAAATATATTTTTGTTAAGAGCTTCCCACCGAGCTGAGAGCACGCGTAAAAAATCTTCTGGAAGATGTAACCACTAAATTTTTTTCTTTTCTTTCAAAATAAAACGGTCTTCTCTAGAGGTCTTAATACTTTATAAGAGCTTTGTAATAATTAACAGAAAAAAAATCGCGTGGCAACTATCACGTGCTTCGTTCAGCACGGCAAGAGTGAAAATAAGATTCGAAATAAAAGTAAAAGTGTAAACAACGGCAGTAATAAGTTACCGCGCGTAACGAAGATTAAAAGTGCGTAGCCAAGGAGGAAGAAAAAAAATCTCAATCACTCGTCGCTTCGTATTGGACTTGCCTCGAGTAAACACGATCGCGTTTTCCCTTTAACCACGGTCATGTAACAACAGACGACGCGACGAGAGCCAGCCGCGAGCTCGCATATTTCACGTGTATCCTCTGCTCGTGGGGCGTATGGTAATAATTGACGCCGAAATTCATGCGACGTGGGCTCACTTGGGCTGTGCACATATTATACAGGTGACGGGAATAAAAAAAAAAAAAAAAAAAGAAAATTCGCTTCTCATTGGTCTCGTGATCGATCGTCGCTGCGCGAACCTTCCTTCCCGTGTCCTCGTACCTTCTGGAGGATCAATTACGCGCGCCGGTGCATGTATCATCCTTGCCGCCAGCCCTCGGAGCCGGTCCACTTCGGCGCGCTCGTAACTCCTGCGCCCGATCGCAAGGTCGCGACGGCCTCACCAACGGCTTGTGACGCAAGAGCCGTTTAATTTACCTTAATGAATTCGAGGGCCACGCGGAGGCCGAAAGAGATGAGAAAAAATACGGACGAGAGGATCGAGCTGCTGTTGCGGGACGCCGTAAATAATTGCCGACTTAATGCTTTATGCGCTCGGCGAGTAATTGATTGTTACGGTCAGCAAACATATATTATGCACCTGATCTTATTTTTTTTTTTTTTCCCCAAAAGCTCGCTTGTTTGTTCGTTTATGAGTACGCGTCTGCCAGCCGGCCAATTTTTTTCACAATTACTTTTCGCTCGTCCTTTATCCAAGTGTGTGTTATTAACAGCTCGATAAAGTGTTATAATGCCCTGCGAGTTAAGAAACTGTCCGTGTGATAATCGGAGATAATCACTGGGATGGAAATTAGTCTTGGATGAAAGACAAGGTACAGTTTTTTTTTTCTGGTCAAAGCTACGTGGTAAAGGTGTTGTGTTTTTTTTCAATTATAATATATATTTACTTCGGGGACACGATACAATTTTGGAGTTGCTCAATAAGAGCATTGCAGTCGAGGTACACGGCGTAGCAGCAGACTTTCAATTAGGAGAGGGAAAATAATGTTTGTTGGTGCAGGTGCTTCGATGAAAATGCGCTATACGTGGAGACGCTGAAAGAGAGAGGATAATGGATAGAGAGGGTCGCGCGATGAAAACACATAGACACACGCGTACACGATTCAGGATATTGGTTTTATTTTCGATTTATTTTTTCTTGTACTTGTATCCCTCGCCTCCGCCGCCGGGCGAGTGGGCGGGATAGCTGGCGGTGCCCTCGTACCGGATCATCGGTCGGTAGCCACCGCTGTCGGCCACGTACTCCACGTACTGCGTCCGTCCATCCGGAAGCAGGACGTGATAACTTCCGCTCGCCTCGTCGTCCTTGCGCATCTCCTTGTGGCCAAAGTCCAGCCCCGCCTGCGCGTCCTGCACCTCGTACGAGAACTCGTAGTTCACCGGATCCTGTTTTTCAACACACGTTATCATTGGTTACCCTTCTTTTTTTTTTTTTTTTTTCCGACGCCCCAACTCATCGAACAAGTCGCACTTTCATTGTGCCGTTTTTACCATTCATCTCCTCGATCTGCATAATTACAGCCTCTCGGCGCTATAAATTTTATTTTTGTACAATAATTTTGCACGAGTTTTGCTCCGGTGTCAAAAATAACAAACGTCCGAGCGGATAATGAACACACTCGCGTTCGCGGACCAACTCTTTGAGGTCGAACAAACGAGAGGATAAACTCGGGTTAATTGAAGGCACCGCGGGTAATATATCAAAAAGGTAAATGTGTCACATACCCCAGCCCATTCGTCCGGATGGCCGGCGTTTGGCGAGGGTCTCGAAGGAGGACCGCTCGGCGGTAGGTACGCCTGCCCTTGTGGCTCGGTCCGCATTTCGGCAAGCATCGTCAGTAGGAGCAGTGCCTGCGGTAGAAAATGACGATCGAACTTGAAGCCACTACTGCTCCTACGTATATTTCTGCCCCGAGATTCTCGAGCAAACGTTATGCACAGCATAGCTCTCTTGGATACCAAGCTTATTGAGAGAGACGAGTGTACAAGTCACGAGGGTTTGGCAAATTGTTCGGGAAAACGCGCGCGAGATGCGTCATGCGCATCGTATAACATCAGAGGGACTTTACGGCGGGTATGGTGAAAAATATATTCAAAAATATTGGGATTCTTATTTATTGGGGTCTTAATGTGCATTTCGTATTATTTATGAGAGAACCGATCTAGTTTTTAATAATCATCAGAAAGTTGCATGTTTTCTGTTATATTAACTTTCTAATTCTTGAAATAAAAGTATAAATTTTTCCAAGCGCTGTACACCACCTGCTCAAAATTATAATCAAAATTCTTTGAATTAATAAAACAAACGATTAATTATCTTTTTACTATAACTAATTATAAACATTTTAAGTATTTATGTAATTAATTTATAGAATGTGCACAAATATGTACGTAGTGTGAACATACGCTTGGGTCTGTGACTGAGCGTGTACCTTAGCGTATGTTTATATTTGTAAAACATAATCACGACAAATGTATTGATCTACATTAAATTGATAAAAAAATCACTATTTGAAAAATCAACGCTTGTGTAAGATTTTACATCGTTATCATTTATAACAAAACTGTCATAAATACGTGTTCATATTCAACGATGCGTTTTATTAAAAATTACGTTCTCATGTGAAATTAATTGTTTCGACGTTGCTCTAGATTATACTTTCATAATTAAAAAATTCAAAACATCACATTGGTTGTAAAAATTTCATTGAAAAGATTAAATGGCGTTATTAAATAACCTTAAATATTTTTAATTGTCATTATTTAATTTTTAAATATTTAATAATTCAGTAATTTTACGGAAATATACCATTAACTCCCGAATAAAAATATTTTTATTACATATTATCAAAATTAGAGTCACCGTTTGAGATAGATTAGTGTTTCATGATGAAAAAAGAACGTTAAAAATTAAAGAGAAAAAATTTTTACCTGTAAAATCATGGGAGTACAAGACGAATGTTCAAGATATTAAACAATACTAAGGCTACGCAGGAGCCATCGGGCATTTTATATACCACCTACCAGGACTGCAAGAGTTGAGTTGAAATAGAGTCGAAAAGTACAGTAATTTGTTGAATTTACGATACAAATGTAGCACTGTGATTACATTTAATACGAAAACCGCAGATTTGTGACAGCAATGATGACGCCAGACCAGACGCTTGTCTGGTGAGTTTGTACGTGTCGATTTCCTGCTCTCTGTGGCTCTCTTAACAATCGAGTACTCCGACTCCTTCTTCAGAGTAACTTTTTTTTCTTTCTTAACTGCTACCTTTTTACTTGTAGGTACATCTTGCTCAATTTTCAAATGACGATTATAATAAGACTGTCTGACTATTTTTGAAATGAAAATTTTACGTTAAGTATACATTTCTCTCTCTCTCTCTCTCTTTTTTTTTTTTTTTTTTTTTTTGTAAGAATAAATTTTGAAAATAAAAATTTATTCATTTAAAAAATAAAAACAATTTTTATTGTTATCGGAAAAAATATAATGTGATACTACTGAGAGAAGTTATGCAATTTTCACGTGGGAAATTAATCTTGCTGGGCTTATTTTACATGTGCAACCGATTGCAACACGATACACTTTCTCAAGCCATCTTCCTTTTCTACTGATACAGATTCTGGTACCACAGACCTTTCTTAACGATCGTCTTAACTCGCCGATCACGGAAACTATATGTATAAAAAGCATTCAAGGCTTGTAACTAGTAGGTAATTTAGAATGGGTAGTCTGGATTTTATGTTGTATTTAATGTAGGATTAAACTAATTTTGATATAAAATTTTAAGAGTGTCGATGTTTTATAAGTATTTTATATAATATATTACACATTTTGTAATACTATTCATTATATCAATAATGTTAATAATATTTTGCATGTTCTAATAATGTGAATATTATATTATTATAGTAAATATTTTATCATTAGATGCAAAATATTTACAACCACCTAGGTATGAAATATACGTTTTATGAAATAAAAAAAATAAAGTAAATTAATGAAATTTAGAATGCATTTCTAAATATTTTAGATAAGAAATGAATTAATCTCAAACTTCACACTTTGTATTTTTTTTTTTTTTTTTTTTTTCATTTTCAAAGGACAAGCTTCCATAGTGGAGAAATAAACTACACTCATTGACCGAATGGTCTTTTTGTATGTTTAAATAAATAATGTAAAAAATTTTTGAATACTAACGTTATGTTGTTAAGACATTCCAATTGGTTATGACTATTGAAATTAAAACTAAGTATTGTGATGCGACTCTCAACAAGCGTCATCTTACTAATCAAATCTTTAATACAAGCTTCAATTTCTATCGTGTTTTTTTCACAAATAAATAAATTATTCATACACACATAGAAATATTTCTATTGTATTATTTTAGATATAAGTTGTATGTTTAGTTTACACGTTTTTATATGGACTTTTTGTTGGATTTATATTGCTATTTATTCTAATATTGTAATCAAAATCGCTAGGATTAACCCTCTTTAAATCACCAGAAGTGAGCTTGAACAGGCAAAAGAAAATTATTATCTTTGGTTTCACCACTATTGGACAAACAAATCACTGGTATCATTAAACAAAGGACTCAAACACGTTACTACTTATAACTGCAGCGACAAAAATTCAAGTTATGCACTAACCTGATCGACTATGATCTTGTGCAACCATATACATTTTAATTTGGTAGACTCTCTTGGTGATTTGTTTCGGATTGAGGCACTTTGTCGGTCGACTTCAATATGCTCACGCAGCACTGCTTTGCCTTGGCATGCACGTACAGCAAGCACTGAGCTAGAGGACACATGTTGCGATGCTATATATTGTGAACTAAATAATGAAAGTACATAAAAACTTGTGATTGTAGCAACAAAATTTTAAGTTGTACACTAACCTTATCGACCCTCGTTTGATTAATTCACATGCCTTAGGTGATTTTTCTTGAGTTTGTGCACAGTATGGATCCATTGTTAGAATATTTTGTGCAAGAAAATAAAAGCAATCGTGATTGCCAAAAATTTTCACCTTTGCACACACAGGTACTCACAAATAAAAGAGAACTGATTAGAATAAGATGCAATTGTTTTTACCGCTCTCCAATAAGACTAGTATTCTTGCAAAACTTGTGATTGTGATTACACTTAGATATATTTTCTGAAGATATTTTTTTCTTGTACAGATTATGTCACCACATATCTATTACTGAGATCTTCTTAATTTTAGTAATAAATAATACATTGGTATAATTACATGTTTAACCAGATAAACTAGTACAGCACTGATTGGCGAAAGATTAACCAGACTAAATAATTTGATTAGGTAGGTAGCCGCTCACTACTCGTTTCTAATATTCGAGGAAAAATGAACGGAGTAACGGGCTAAAATAGATTTTTCACGGATCAAGATGAAAATTCCTGACTCAATGATACAATTTATTGCATGAGGAAAGTGAGGCTTGTGATTAAATAATACAACGTTTTTGTGTAATTAGCTGCATGTTTTATTACTAATGCGGCTTTTTTTTTGAGCTACGATAACTACACACAATATTTTCGTGGAGCACAATGCTACATATTATAAATAAATAAGATAAACGTATAAAAAATAGTCGATACGTGATTTGCTATGCAAAGTTATAAAAAGTGTTACGATTAGACTTTTGTAAAATTATAATACTTCTTAAAATTAATACTGATGCTAGCACAATTTGTTATATTATAACAAACAATGTGCGACGTGAACATTATACAATGCGCAAATAGTCTAAATATTTATAATAATAATACATGCTTATAGTGACATATTCAATTAGTATTGATATCCACCATTCGCCGCCGCATCGCCACCACTGCCGTCACGGAAGCCACCACTACTTCCGCGACCACCGCCAGGACCGAAACCTCCGCTGCCTGGACCACCCGATGGGTATCCTGTTAATTGTAAAATATAGCGTTTAAAAATTTTTTATTTTATAAAGTGAATAATAATTTACCATTGCTACCGCCTGGACCACCTCCAAATCCAGAACCCGGGCCACCACCAAATCCAGAGCCTGGACCACCACCAAATCCAGAGCCTGGACCGCCTGATGGATAACCACCAGCACCTCCACCAGGTCCGAATCCACTTCCTCGGCCGCCGGGTCCACCTAATAAGTAACCCGTATTGTCACCCAGATAAAACATTGTGTTGTTTCGAAACTATTAATTTGTTTAGACAAAAATAATATACCGCTACTACCACCTGGACCACCACCAAATCCAGAGCCTGGTCCACCTGATGGATAGCCACCAGCACCACCACCAGCTGCTCCACCGAGTCCACCTCCTCGGCCACCTGGTCCACCTATTCAGTAACACGTATTATTAGCTAGATAATCTAATAATGCATTTTTTGACACGTGATATTTGTTAGGTGATAAATTGAGTACCGCTGCTACCGCCGGGACCGCCACCAAATCCAGAACCTGGTCCTCCTGATGGATAGCCACCAGCACCTCCACCAGATGCTCCACCAGGTCCGAAACCATTACCTCGGCCGCCTGGTCCTCCTATCGAGTAATTTACATTGTCAAATAGATAAAAAAAATGTACGTTGAAAAACTATAGCAATTGGTTGGGATAAATTATTTACCGCTTGGACCACCGCCAAATCCAGAGCCTGGTCCTCCTGATGGATAGCCACCAGCACCTCCACCAGCTGCACCACCAGGCCCAAATCCACCTCCTAGACTGCCTGAGCCTCCTGTTGAGTAATCCGTATTGTCTGCTAGATAATTTAATTTTGCGTTTTTACATTCTTATGATTTAATAAGTGATGAATTATCTACCGCTGCTACCACCAGGTCCCCCACCAAATCCAGATCCAGGTCCTCCAGATGGATAGCCACCAGCACCACCACCAGCTGCTCCACCAAGTCCACCTCCTCGACCACTCGGTCCTCCTACGGACAAACCAATATTGTCAGACAGATAATTCAATATTTCGTTCTTAACAAACGTGATTTGTTAAGTGATAAGTGATATACCGTTGCTACCACCTGGACCACCACCAAATCCAGAGCCTGGTCCTCCTGATGGATAGCCACCAGCACCACCACCAGCTGCTCCACCAAGTCCACCTCCTCGGCCACCTGGTCCACCTATTCAGTAACACGTATTATTAGCTAAATAATCCAATAATGTATTTTTGACACATCATATTTGTTAGGTGATAAATTAAGTACCACTGCTACCACCGGGACCACCACCAAATCCAGAACCTGGTCCTCCTGATGGATAGCCACCAGCACCTCCACCAGATGCTCCACCGGGTCCGAAACCATTACCTCGGCCGCCTGGTCCTCCTGTTGAGTAATCCGTGTTGTTAGACAGATAACATAAATGCTTTCAAATAATTGTAATCTATTAATAAATAAATTGTATACCATTGCTACCACCTGGACCACCACCAAATCCAGAGCCTGGTCCTCCTGATGGATAACCACCAGCACCTCCACCAGCTGCTCCACCAGGTCCGAATCCACTTCCTAGACCTCCTGGTCCTCCTATTAAGTAACCCACGTTTATAGACAGATGTTAAAATGTGGTGTTTTTAAACAACTGTAATTTGTTAAGTGATAAATTATTTACCGCTGTTACCGCCTGGGCCACCACCAAATCCAGAGCCTGGCCCACCTGATGGATAACCTCCAGCGCCTCCACCAGCTGCTCCACCGGGTCCGAATCCACCTCCTCGGCCGCCCGGTCCTCCTGTTGAGTAATCCGCATTGTCAGCCCTATTATCAGAATTCCCCGAGCCACCCGATGGGTATCCACCACCACCTCCTAAACCACCAGGTCCTCCTCCTAAACCAGCGCCGCCTCCAAGACCACCTGATCCACCTCCAAGACCTCCAGCTCCATTGCCTAGGCCTCCAGCTCCAGTATTAGCTTCGCCTTCGTAACGGATTGATGGTCTATACCCCGCTTGATCGGCTTCATATTCTACAATTTGTTTCCTGCCATCCGGCAGGAGAACATTAAATTCGCCCTGAGCACGATCACCATCACGCATTTCTGAATGTCCGAAATTACTACCTGATTGGGCGTCTCTCACTTCGTAAGAAAATTCGTACTTCGCCTGGTCCTAAAATATTGCAATAGTTTCTGAATAAATGTCAAAAACTTTGTGTTTTACGATTTGTATCACCTGAATTAAAAATTTCTTTTTAACCTCTATTCAGTTATCAAGAATTTTTATTTAGTCAAGTGTTACTCAAATAGTTTGTTAAAAAAATGTTAAGTAATTGATCTTACATTGCTTCCATCATCGAACCCATCTCCACCAACTGCTCCGGAAGGTGGTGGTCCATAACTGTCTTGCAATCCATCACTACCACCTGACCCTGAACCAAGTCCACTTCCACCAGCTCCTGGTGCACCTTGACCAGCAGAAGCTGACCCTGGACCACCACTTCCAAAACCACCATTTCCACTTCCTGGAGCGCCATATGTACCAGACGGGCTACCACCCGCCCCTCCAAGTGCTCCACCACTTCCAGATCCTGGACCACCACTTCCAAAACCACCACTTCCACTTCCTGGAGCTCCATATGTGCTTGATGGGCTACCACCTGCTCCTCCAAGTGATCCACCACTTCCCGATCCTGGACCACCACCTCCGAATCCACCGTTCCTACTTCCTGGGCCCCCACTTCCTGGAGCGCCATATGTACTTGATGGGCTACCACCTGCTCCACCAAGTGCTCCACCGTTTCCAGATCCTGGACCGCCACTTCCAAAACCACCGCTACCACTTCCTGGAGCGCCATATGTACCTGATGGGCTACCACCAGCTCCTCCAAGAGCCCCACCACTTCCAGATCCTGGTCCACCACTTCCGAAACCACCACTTCCGGGAGCCCCATATGTACTTGATGGGCCCCCGTTTGCTCCTCCAAGTGCGCCTCCACTTCCTGACCCTGGACCACCACTTCCAAAGCCATTTCTTCCGGATCCTGGACCACTACCTCCAAATCCACCATTTCTACCACCTGGAGGTCCATACGTACTCGATGGACTACCACCTGCTCCTCCAAGTGCTCCACCGCTACCAGATCCTGGACCACCACTTCCGAAACCTCCACTTCCTGGAGCTCCATATGTGCTTGATGGGCTACCACCTGCTCCTCCAAGTGATCCACCACTTCCTGACCCTGGACCACCACCTCCGAATCCACCGTTTCTACTTCCTGGACCACCACTTCCAAAACCCCCACTTCCTGGAGCGCCATATGTACCTGATGGGCTACCACCTGCTCCTCCAAGGGATCCACCACTTCCAGATCCAGGTCCACCACTTCCAAAACCACCACTTCCACTTCCTGGAGCCCCATATGTGCTTGATGGATTACCACCAGCTCCTCCTAGGGCTCCACCACTTCCCGATCCTGGACCACCACCTCCGAATCCACCGTTTCTACTTCCTGGTGGGCCATACTGATCCGATGGTCTCCCACCGCTACCACCACCAAGGCCGCCAGGGCCTCCACCAGTACCACCAGCTCCGTTGTTACTTCCGCCGAATCCTGGAGGGCCATAAGTACCTGATAACGAACCACCAGGTCCACTACTTCCTCCTGGACCACCTCCAAAGCCACCACCGGGCCCGCCACCTAAACTACCCCCTTGTCCTGGTGGTAGATATGAATTCACTGGTGGTTCTGGGCGTGCAGCACACAGTGCTAACACAGCCATAACGTAAATTACCTAAAAAATGATTAGACATCAAAAATGATGATTGAAATAACATCGAAGTCACTTAGTGCAAATAATTATTTGGTATTAATTAATGGAGTATTAATTTTATGAGCTTATTGACTACTACGCAATTGACGAAATAATGTGAACCGTATATTATTAATGTTGTTAATCATATGATTTTTATAAAAATACCTTTATTTAAAATTTTTTACGAGTGGTTCTGAATTTCAATGCAAAAAACTTTGACTGAAAAAGTATAAATCAAGAGCTCATTACCTTCTGCATTTTTGATGTTTGAATTAAAACTAATGTAATGACACGAAGACTTTGTGTCCACTTGCTGGACAATGATCACTAGGGAGGGAAATCCCTACGAGGGAATCCCTTATGACTTAGCGGTGCTCCGTAACACCGTTTGTTTTATATGATGCACCACTGTTCAAGCGGAGCTGAACGGAGAATGACAAACCTGTGGCCGTAATCGACTTTATATACTCCTCGGCTCTGTCCACAGCGTTAGATCATGGATTTGGTGCAACTCTAGCGAAGATTTACAGCAAAGATCGTTATAACTGTGTCATGACGGTGAATCTATCGCTTCGGTCGCTTGCAATGGTGACGGTGGTCCATACTTGCACGTGTTGGTGCTCAAGAGAGTGGGGTCTTCTTCAGTCTGCGATGTGTGAACATGAGCGAGGGAAAAAGAAAGAGATGGATAAAGAGAGAGAGAGAGAGAGAGAGAGAGAGAGAGAGAGAGAGAGACTCTTTGCAGCATCATCCTACCGATAAAGGATTCCCATACCCTCTCTTTTCCGATTCGTCGCATTCGCAGTCTCGCGTGCCGAGAATCGTATGCCAGCCAGCGCACACACGTAACTATATACATAAACAGATAGCTCGTGAGCTCAAGCCATAACAAAGTTAAATGAAAGGGCAACTGCAAAATCTAGGACGACAAACGTATGCCTCCTACTATGAGCACTCTAAGTCTTTGCTCAATGGCGAGAGTGACGAAATTAATAGGAAAACTGGCGAAATTCATGCAAATCGACAGTTCGCAAAAGCAATCTTGATTCTTCTTTATCTTTTTTTCTACATCTCTTTTTTTTCCACCCATACTATTAGAGAGCTCTTGCAATTTTATGCCATCCAAGATTTCGATCGATAAAAAATTTAGAACATAAATTTTAAAAAGTCTTTGAAAATTTGCAAAAATACAAAAATGTGCAAAAAAAAGTTTAACCGTGTTACTGTATTAATGTCGAAGCACACTACGCAATATTCATTTGACAGTCAACAAAAATTATTATTTAAACTTGACTCAACATAAATTCTTACAAATATACGAAAAGCGCGCATCATCTGTCAAACACTTATTAGAGCTGTTCTATAAGGTTAATCACACGAAGAGGCTAGTGAAAATGATGGTGCAATTGACGAATACGGAAACGCTTGCGTGGCTGGTCAAAATATAAGGGCCCTGTTGATGTCCTATAAACGTGACTGTATGCGCTGAGCAATTATGGTGCATGTGTTATTATTGACTTCAAAAGCTAAGTAAATATGTGTACATGGGTCTTATTGTTTAAAAGTTTTACGGCAGTTTTTACAGAATCACTAGAAAAAAAATTTTTCCAATTGATTGATAAAATCTTTTAAAAAAATTGTTCCATCGTTAACATTAATCTTAAGTAAATGTTGGGCAATAAACGAAATCATAGATGCAAAAGCACGTATAGGCACAATGATATTTATTATACTGAGTAACGCAACAGTACCACAGTTGTAAGCTATTGTTCCTTGCATAATTACAGTGATAAGGATTATAACATTATTAGTTACATATTTGTATGAACAAATTATTATTGCAGTTGGTATTGACACATCCAATGTTTCTCGCATTTCAACACTACTGAGTGAAATATTGCTCAGAAGTCAGAGATATAATTAATATTTGCTTAGATTTTTGCGCTCATTATAGTCTTTGGCAATGAATAAATTTTGTTTTCGTCGGTTGGCGATGGATCCTGTAAAAATGTTCATATCTATCATTCCGTTGAGTATTCTTAACGACTGCCATGTGTGCACCGAGTAGCGGCAAAAATAGACGACCTACAAAAGGTGAGAGATGGATATTATATATATATATATATAAGTGTCCAGTTGCGCAAGACTTTGGTCATCGCAAATATGTATGTATGTACATGCAGACTAATAGAGCTCAAGCGAAGCTCCTGGCACGAAAAATGCTATGGTCTTGCAGCCACGGCAGCTGAGGCTAAAGGGAATAAAGAGAGAGAGAGAGAGAGAAGGTATAGGTATAGCGGCGATGAAAAAATTCTCATGTTTTCTCACATAAGAGTGACGAGATGCGCCATTCGTGGATTAGTGCAATCGTTGAAGGAGCAAGTCAGAGCAAAGAGGTGATCTGCTGCTACTTGCTGTACCTATATATATATATATATAACCGTATACTGCTTGCGAGCACTGCATCAGGATATGCACATGGCAGTGTATGGTAGAGTCGCGGTGGTGGCTGGCACATGAATGTGTATGTGGAACGGTTGAGCACATACACACACAAAAGAGTGGAGGCGCCTATTGCGTCTGTGAGCGTGAGTTTCCTTCGCTCTCCTCCTCGCGTTACACATTAGGCGATGGCGAGGAAGGGGCTAAAAAGAGGGAACGTGTTTCGCCACGCGGCTTATTGTAAGTACACTTTCATTAGGCATGTCAAGCCTCTTTTGACGTCTTTTTAGGTATGTGCAGGCACACACGTATACTCTTCTCCTTTCGTCTCATCACTCTCTCTCTCTCTCCCTCGTTCGCGTCTATAACACGCGCTCGTGGTGGATGTGATCTCTCGCTTCTCGCGAATTTCCTCACACTTTACGAGCTCGGGAATGTATTTTATTGCTTTACGTCATTCCGCATTTAATATAGCTATCGTCGATGCCATCGAAAATGCTTTTATACAAATTTATAAGTGCGCACGCGAGCGGGAGCACGTGTGTCTTGTGAGGGGGTACACACATCCACGCAATACACAAATATATAATATTAAAAGTGCCGCGTTGGCGCATCTCTCCTCCGATCATCTTTTCTCGCGGCGATCCCTTTTTCGGAAGCAAGTTTCCCCGAATCAAACTCTGAGGGCCTACCGTTGACTATATAGTGAGACCAGCTGAGCTTCTCTGTGCCATTTTCTGTCCGACACCTGCTTTTGAAATAATTCCCGATTCCATGTAAACTTGAAGAAGTAAAAAAAAAACCATTTATTGAGTCATTATTTCAAAACTGTCATATCCTGGCTTCAATTTTTCAACGTGAATGAATGCTTCTATTTTCACATTCGGTCACGCGGCAAGTCCCCGCAAGGAGCCGTGTGCTACAGGCCTGCTCTTCTCCACCTCGTACCTCCGCCACCTACAGCTTAATTTTCCCTCACAGGACCTACTCGCGAAAAACTCGTTGCGCAAATTTCTCTTTCCCGGTGTGCTATCAGTCTGCGATCTCCATTGATGTTCTCGACTGATGCCGATTTCTCTGCTCAGGCCGATCCGATGCTCTCTCGCCCCCGCCAAGAGTCTTTTCTGTTATGCATTAGCCGTATATGTAGGCGCCTGGAGCATACAAGTTGAAAAAAAGAGCAGCAACGTAGCCGTGTACACGTATATCGCTCTCGTACATTAAGAAACAGATCCCGGAAGGTAGGCGCATACGCTGACATTTGTGTTCGCGTGCTCCAGTTGTGGGCTAATCTCTGTCGTGCCGTATCGATTTCTGTGCCCACAGCTGGGACGGCGACTGGCGAATAAGTTTCGCATACGGTGGAATATATGGGTATACATTACCAGCGCCGATCGAAAAACACACGGCGAGGCTCAGAAATCGGGAAGATCGGTAGGATTTTTTTCGTCATTGCACGGCCACCAGGTATGCTTACAACGGATTAGACGAGAGTTATTACCACCGGTAGACGAGTTACTCCCGGTCGCGCGTTTTAAGAAAAACAAGAAAAAAAAAAAAAAAAAAAAAAAAAAAAAAAAAAAAAAAAAAAATAATAACAATACACGAAAATGATGTATGTAGACAAACAGTTTAAGTGTGCATTTGCCAATACCATGCCAGACGCATTTTAAACGTAAGCGCAAACAGAATCAACGTGTTTTCATAAATCAATCCCTAATTGCGTTAGCTCGCCTCCGTAAGATGAAACGTTTGAAATGATTTTCACTCAGATATACCGCACGCGCGCTTAAAATTCTATCCCGAGTAAATTGGGCAACAAGGGTTTCTCGAATTAATCGAAGTCACGCGCTTTTCCAGTGTATATACGCTAACATTCTTTTATTTATTTATTTTTTTTTCCTTTTCCCCACCACAGTTGTGGTACAATCCGTGCAAAAGCCAAAACGCAACAATATTTATGCCCTTTCGACAAGATTGCCTCGAGTATTGGCCAACAACGGACATTCGGAAGCACGTCTGACTTTTTCGTAGACTGCATCCATCGATAATCGGATGCAAAAAAGAACAAAAAAAAAAAAAAGAAGAATTTATCACGAGCTTTCATTGTCTGTATACATAAAGGTACGTATGTATAGGTATAAAATGCATCGAGAGACATGCGACTCGAGAATAAATTCAAGCGAATATAAATGTGCGGCGGTGAAACGGTATTGGCGGATGAAAAACGGGCTCGTGGCATGACAGAATCGTTGCCCAACAAATCAATTCCAGCAGCAGCGGCGATGGCAATGTAGCACCTATAAGTAGCAGAGGGGGGGGGGGGCCCAAGCTTTGAAAACCCCTGATGCACGCCAGAGGCAGCAACGTCATAAAACCAGGCGCCGTGTATATAATATGTATAAGTGACGACAACACTTTCGGTCTCTTCGCGCCTCAAAATTGCACGAGTGTTTATAATATGCACTCTGGTGTCTCTGCTGTTCCGATCAATTAACCACGGATTAGACTTAATATGAATCACGCGCTTGTTTATCCTTGAACGCAAGTCCGCATGCCGGGCAGATAGGGGTCGGACAGACAGGGCACCCGCACGTACGCGCTATACCTGAAAATTGTACAACCTGCACCAAATAAATATATGGTGCGTTAGTTGGCCTGTCGCTAGCCAAAACGACGCTCAGGTATAGAAGATTAATATTACATACACATGCACCTATACACGCAGAAGTAGTCCCCGGCAAAGGAGCGATCGAGGGAAGAAGCTGCGGATGCTACTTACACGTCTCGATGTACTTAATATCGGTTTCCAAAGT